AAAAATGCATTTATTGGAAGGCTTTGTGTTCAGGAAAGTGCTGTCCTGAACGCCGTCAACAATGAGAGTGGTGAGAGATTTGCCATAAAAGTTTACAAGACCAGCCTCACCGAATTTAAGAACAGGTATATTTAGCGGTGCTCCAGATGACGTACTTTTAAAGGAGGCCCCATTTAGGTCAGAGTACGTGAAGGACGACTTTCGATTCAAGAATCCTCGTGGAGTGCTGAAGATTTGGGCTGAACGCGAGTTCATGAATCTCTCCAGGTTTCTGCTATATGTTTGATGCTTGATGCTCGGTACTGAAATTTTGGTAGGACATGGAATTGAGCAATCAGAAGTCATTCATCTATTGTTGGGATATTTGTTACTAACCTCTCTTGTACTTTTTTTTCCAACGATTCGCGTTTCAGAATGATCAAATGCGAACTTCCTTGTCCAGTACCGATAAAGCTGAAGCGTCATCTCCTGCTCATGTCGCTGATCGGCGAGAATGGAGCGGCGGCACCACGCCTGAAGAACATCGATTGGGAGTTTTCCACTGTCGAAGAGAGAAAGGACATTTTTTCACAGGTCATCAATGTGAGTTTGTTTCTACAGTGCTTCACAAAAGCATTTCATTGCCTGAAGTTGTTTTAATGACTAAAGTTCCTTGTCACTTCTCTGATCCTTCTCTGACCCTTACCTTTTAGATTATGAATCGAATGTACAGGGACTGTAAACTTGTGCATGGAGATCTAAGCGAGTTCAACTTGCTCTTGTCGGAAGGAAAGGTAATTTTGCAGTCTCGATTGTAATAATTGTTCAACATTTGCATAGATATATGTTCTATGGTAAGTATACCATGAAAAGCTGAGTTGGGATGAAATGGTGCCCCGGTAGCGTAACTGGTAGCGCACTTGCCCGGAAAGCGAGAGGTGCGGGTTCTAGTCCCGCCTGGGGCGAAAGTTTTGTTCACAACCCAGCATTCTTGTGAAACATTCGCAAGGCGAACTGCGGCCAAAAACAGCAGTTAACAAACAAAAACAAGTCAAAATATATGTTCAGGTTTATGTGATTGATGTGTCGCAATCGATGGATCTGTCACATCCGCGAAATCTACATTTCCTTATCAGGTTAGCATGAGGCCGGGGAGTCAGTTCGTTTAAGGAATGTTAATAGGCCTGAATTCACAGAAGCTACGTTCCCCAGAGAATTTTTTACACAAATTGCTGATCAGATTCTGCGTCAGCCTTAGATTGCTAGCAAGTGAGGCAATTTCACGGCGTTGTCCTTCAGAAACGACGACTGAGATGTGATGGTCCTGCGCTACTTGTGCGAGAAAAGAAATTTGAACATTAGCCACAGTGCATGCGAGAGCGAGGTCATCCACGCATTCTCCCTTGGGTTGCTGAACAGCTCAGCCTTGCCCCGTGGAGTGACGGAAACGCAAAAATTACCCCGATGAGAACGCAATGACGTGCAAGTCTAGCCTCAGGTTAAACCGAGCGCGATCCGCAGCGTGACCGAGTGCTCTTTCGTGTGTTTCAGCCTTGCTAATAAAATCTCTTGGCTGCCGTGATAGTAGTTCATAGTGAGTGCGATAGTAAGAGTCCCGTCTCGCAAAGTTGTGATTTATAGTGATTTTGAATTCCGTAGATGAGATTTCATTGATTGCTTAGTTTCACGCTGTTTCTTCTCCAGAGATATCGAGAAAGGGGGGGGGGGGGGGGGGGGGGGGGGGTGGGCTATGATTTCTCCCCCGCCTTGACATACCCCGACTACCCAAACCCCACGTGGCATTCGTTCAACGTCATGATTTAACGAGAGTTTGTCGATGAAGACGCGAGGAAGGCATCCCTCAGTGTACATGGTGCTTTCCCCGTTTTGTAAGAACATATATGTGTTACTAATATCGGTTGTCTCACATGATGTCTTGTAGTTCCATTTAACAGTTTTAATACATTCACGACGGCGCCCCTTTTCCACTTTCGGTCGCGTGGGACGGACGCGATTTTGTGGGCGCCGCCGCCTCACCTCACATCCGCGGATTTTGTACTGTAAATGAACAAAAACATGAATGTCACAAAATAATTTCTGCAATGTCCAATGCGTAAAGATTATCTAAACATATAACAGTAGGATTTCGATCAGAACGACGAATAGTGGTTACGAAAAGAGAGCATTTATTCACTTTCCCCGTGAAGGAATTTAAAAGCATTTTACACTCGATTACGAGGTTTGCCCACCTATCTGTCCATTCCTAGCGCCTGGCAAGCGATTATCAGTTGGCAGCCCATATGGGCTGCCATCGTCCCAGGAGCGCATGTTGTTGGCAGCCCATATGGGCGGCCATCGGCGTGAATGTGTTAAAAAAATTGTTGGTCACTGAATGTATTCATATTCAGGTTGAACAGTTTTCTGAAGAGAATCGCGCCAACCAGGTAAACAAATCCAAGCCGGCTGACTTCGAATGGGCCGCTTACAATGCAGAAAGGAAGGAACTCCGTGACGATTCGCCCGCACGAGACTACAATTGAAGAGATGATGGAACGACAAGAATGTAGAGAAATTGTTGCTCAATTGACGGTAGGATACGGTAGAAACCTGGCTACAGTTGAACGTAAGGCAAAGGAATCCATCCGTGGGTCAGGTACACAAACTGTTTGTTTTTCAATGATTCAAACAAGGTCGAATATGATTTGATCAATGTAGATAGGGTGAAAGTTTGTTTTTGTAAATAGGGTCAAAGTTCGGGTTACATTCCGTGTGGGTTCCTTTCCTTTACGTACTGCGGGAGTCTTGTTGATACAGTACTTATTGTTGTTGACAACTTGTTTTTGTTATCGGTGAAATCTATGTGACTTTTTTGTTAGACACAGATGGACTGCTCTTCAATTTTTGTAGTATTGTTCAGGTGAAAAAGGGAGTAGAGCAAATAAATTATTCTGCATTTTTTTGTGTTCTACTGTTGTTATCTTTTTTGAAAAATCTTTGGGTGAGAACACGACTTTAGAAAAGCAGTGAGAAGCCGAAGACGTGGCTCATCCTAAAGAGCCTGGTCTTCGGCTTCTCACAGCTTTTCGCCATTCATTTCCATCTTGATGTCCAATAAACGCAAACATGCGAGACTAGCGAAGGATTGTGGTTTGTGATCTCGCGATGTAGCCAGGCGCATCTTCGCCCAATCGGGAGACGTTTCAAAAGTGGCGATAACGAATTAGACATCCATGCAAGACAGACTTCGAACCTGTTCGGGGGCCGAAACGATAGGGAAATCCCTGGATCCAAGAAAAAGCGTGAAATCGCCGTTCAAGCGTAATGGCTATTGCAAGAAATCGATTGGCGTGGAACCCAGTGGACAAAATGCGACGTTTCTTGCGATCAAAACAGCCCACTCAGGGTGAAGTCGTTGTCCAATGCAAGATCAGGAATCCTTACCACATGACACACT